GAAGGACCTGTGGGGGGCACTGGTAGACGTAGTGATCAGGGGAGAGGTGTAGGTGGGTCCAGTGGCCCTGACCACTGTGGTGGTGAGAGATGTGTGCATTGAACTTGTGTCCGAGTTTTTAGAGGGGACCTCTTGGCTGGATGGGCTTGTATGGCTTTGAGAAGTTTGTGTTTGAGACAGGGTGGACAGTGTGGAAACCAGAGAGGTCAGTGAGGTCCTGAGACCAGTTGTCGTATGCAATCCCCCTGTGAGGGTGTTGGAGCTGTGCGTAGTGTTTGCGGTCGCCGTGGTGGACGTGTGCCGTGTGGTGATGGTGGTTCCATGTGGTTTGATGGAGGAGGCTGTGTTTTCTGTCCCTAGACTGGATGTGGCTGCTGTTGAGGTTTCAGTGTCATCGGTGTCTTGCTGTGAGGATGTTGTTCTGAGAGCACCCGGTGGCTCTGTGCTGCTGGTCCCAGGACTCCTGGTCGTTCTGAGCATTTCCTGGTGGGTTGGTGTCTCTGTGGATCCAGGACATGTGTTACCATTCAGTCCTGAACTCCAGACTCCTGCTCTGTCTGGAGGGCCTGTCCCTGAGGGTTCGCTGGTGGGTGTTTGTCCTCAGTGTGTCTGACCCTGAAGCACCTTTCTTTGGTCACCTGTCTCTTTCTCTGGACCTCTGTGTTGGCTTGGAGGTGTGGTCCGTGTGTCCTCATGGGTCTGCCGTCCTAACTGTGGCCCTCTTGCACCTGTTCTCAGTTCCCATGTCTGTGAGCGTCTTTCTGGCTCTGCCCCCTCCTCTCTGCCTCTGTCCTCTGTCCCCTTGGGCTCGCTGTCCCTTGTTCTTGGACTTGCCTTTCTGCTTTCTCAGGGTGTGGCCCACCTGTGGCACCCTGTGGCACGTGTGGCTGTGGGAAGCTGACCTCCCGGCCACCACTCACCTTGGCTGGGAAGCGTTCCTGTTCTTGAGCTTGGTGGGGCCTCCGTGGTTCTTGCTGTGGACTGAGCTGTGGACTTTGTGCCTTGGCTCTCCGGAGCTGCTGTGGCCTGTGTTATGGCTTCCGTCACCGTCAGTCCTGTGGCTGTTGACCTCCGTGTGGCTGTGAGGTTAGAGGTGGCTCCTGACATTGGAGGTGATTTTGCCAAGGACTGCCACCCAGAGTGTCATCTTGTGTTCCCACCTGCATCTCTTAGGCTTGTGCCTGAGTCCCTGCCCCTTTCCTGTGAGCCAGGGTCCCTTGTGGGGTCTCCTTGGAGGAACCCTGGCCTCTTGCCTCCCCTGGCCTTGCTCTTATGTCTCCCACATCACTTCTGGAAATGATGGCCTTGTGGCAGTGACCATAGGCTCATGTGGGGCTATCTCTCTGCCTACTTTTGGTCAGCTGGGTGGATTAATGCTCTGTCCTCTCATAGTCCCAGGCAGCAGGAGGTCTGCTGTGTGTTGAGGGGTGGGATGCAGATGATACCCCTCCCCACACCCGCCAGATACTCCAGTGTCCCCTCCATGTTACCGCCTGAGGAGAGTGCAGATGGCATCCGTGTGGTCAAGAGTGTCCAGTCCTCAGTGGAGGCAGGGGTTGAGGGTTGGGCAGTGGGGTACGTAGCTATGGGTAGGGAGCTAGGCCCAGGGCTGGTGGTCCTGGAGGCCCCTGTGCTGGGCTGGACTTCTGTGGGTGGTGCACCTGCGTGGGGCAGACCTCCCTCATGCACAGGCAGGGGCAGACCTGCACCCCCCCTTGAGTCTCGCCTTTTCCTGCCACCCAGCCTTATGGCCCCTGGGCTGGAGGGATGGAGTGTAAGGCCCAGGGCATGGCTGAGCCTCTGATGGCAGCATGGGCTCCGGGTGGGGTCTTCTGGGTGACTTACTGTTGAGTCCCTGCCTCATGCTCAGTGGCCGGTCCAGCAAGGGCTGAGTGGGCAGGGCTATGGAGGTAAATTTTGCATGCCCTCCCCCTTTGGACCTGGGGTTCACACTCGTGTTCCCTGCCCCCTCCCCTGCTGGGCTAGAAAGTCCCCAGCCAGCACGCCCACACCCCGTGGCAGCCAGTGAGCGCAGTCACCTGTGGTCGGCAGCAGCGGCAGGGTTGTGTTGGATGGCACTGTAAGAGGAGGGTGGTCAGATGCCACTGCCCATGTGGCCCCCAGCCCTCGCCCAGGGGTTCCTTGAGCAGGCCTAGGCAGAGTTGTGTGCTCTTCATGGCAGGGGCAGGGGAGTGCCACCCAGGCCGGGCGCTGAGCGGCCTGCCTCCTCCCCGTCTCCTCCCGCCCCTCCCTTCCTCTGCTCTCAGCTGGCTTGGAGAAGCAAGCTGCCCGGCTGCTGTGGCCCAGTGGTATCTCTTGCTGAATGAATTGGATTCCCAGGAAGATTCCCAGTGGGCTCCCCAATACCCTGTCAGGCCTGGGGGCTCTGCTCTGAGCTGGAGCTGGGTGAGTATGTGGTCTATGGAGGAGACAGGGGCCAGAGGCGTCTAGTGCTGTCCCTCTGTCTCTGCTGTCTACAGCCACACTGCCTGTCTGTGGGAGTCTCAATACCTCAAGGGGCAGGGCCCTGAGGAGTGGGTACTGGGGCTGGACAGCAGCTTGTGAGGGGCCTGGAGCACCAGGGCATCCCACATCTGGCAGGCAGACACGCTGCCTGCCTGCAGCTGGACTTACTGCAGGGCACACAGGTCCCCGTGCGGTGGTCGAAGTACTCATCCTGGGAGCAGTTGTAGCAGCCTAGGGCAAAGGAGGGCCAGGCTCAGCACCAGCTGGCACCCAGCTCCCTGCCACTAGCAGGGTCCCCCTGTGGCTCGAGCTCTACCAGCCCCTGCCTTCCTCTCACTTCACTCCCAGCTCGGAAACCCCCTTCCTGGGTACCAGGGCTCTGTCCTGGTGGCCACCGCTCCTCGCTCTGGCCCTGGCTGCACTGGCTCCACTGCTTGTTTGCCCTGGAATCCCCTGTCTGTCCCCTTCCCCTCCTGTCCCCTTCCCCTCCTGTCCCCTTCCCCTGCCTGTCCCCTTCCTCTCCTGTCCCCTTCCCCTGCCTGTCCCCTTCCCCTGCCTGTCCCCTTCCCCTCCTGTCCCCTTTCCCTCCTGTCCCCTCCCCTGCCTGTCTCCTGGGCTCTTCCCGTCTTGTCCTCTACCAGGCTGTGCCTGAGTGTCTTGCTTCCTTGCCTGTTTTTCACGACACTCTGGCCAGAGTGGATGTCAGAGCAGTTTGTTTTCTGTGAGGCCCTGTCCCTAACCCCGCTCTGGGCCTGGGCATTGCTGAGTGAACGTGTGTGGTGAATCTGTGACTGTGAGCAGGGGTGCGTGAAAGGCCAGGTGGAAGGGAGGAGACTGTGGGTGAAGGAGGCTGTTGGTGCCTGAAGGTGCGGTTTGGTGTGCGAGTGGGTGTGTGTGTATGAGCGTGCAAACAATTGTGTGTGTGTGTCAGTGATGAGTGCACACATGAGGAAACAAGGTGCCTGTGCCCCCACCTTCGACATTCGTGTCTGGGAAGCTGTCCAGGTGGCCAGGGCAGAGGCAGGGCTGGTAGTGCCACGTGCAGTTGGCCTCCTGCGTGTACTGGAACTTGCCGTCGCCCACCTGCGAGTGGGTGTTGTAGAAGTCGCAGTAGATGGCTGGAGGAAAGGCAGTGGTCAGTCCATGTGGGAGGTCTGGGTTCTGTTGGCAGGGCCTCGGGGCGGGGCCGGGCATGGCCCTGCAGGGCTCAGGGCTACGGGGGTGGGGCAGGGCACTCACGGCAGAAGTCTGGGGCCCTCCAGTCCACGCACACGCCCTTGTCCAGGCAGGCCTTGGCATAGGCGGCCACTGCATCGCACAGGCACTCACAGTCCCCACCCTTGTCGCACAGGCAGGCGTCCCGCACGCAGGCCTCGTAGTAGGGCATGCGGTAGACCTGCAGGGCCAGGGCCAGGCCTGTCTGTGCCGCTGCAGACCCGTGCTCAGCCACCCCTGCCCTGCAGGTCTGCCCAGGTCAGTGCTGCAGGGGCTCGGCTGAGACCACGAGGGAGGATTCTGATGGGCGCTCATGCTCCCAGAGACCGCCCCGGGGCCAGGGTCCCCCCGACCTGCCCGTCCCTGGGCTCTGGGCTCGGCATCTGCAGCGCTCAGCTCCTTGCCTCAGCGACTTTTCGCTGGCCCCTGGGCCATGAGGACCCTCCTTTCTGTGCTTGCTAAGCCTGAGAACCTGAGTGTCCAGGCCCTTACCCTGGGCAGCCCCAGGTCTCCTCCCCGAGCAGGTGCTGCGGAGTGGGCTTTCCACCTGAATTCCGCTGACACCTGGAGGCCACCACCCTCTTCTGGAGGGCAGAGGCCTGGGGTGCTGCTAAGCACCCTGTAGCAGTCGGACCTTAGTGCAGGGCTCCTGTCTTGGATGGTGGGTTCTGCCCTCTCCATGTCCACCCCCCAACTGTGGGAGGACTTTGGCTTCTCCACTCTGGGCCAGGGTGGGTCATGAGCCCTGGGCGCTGTAGGCCGTGCCCAAGGGCCCACCTTGCTGTGGCAGGCTGTGAAGGTCTGGCTGTGGATGATGCTGCACTTGCGCTCTGCCCAGGGGCGGCGGAAGGGGTTGAGGCTGCAGGGGTCTTCTGCGTAGCTCGCGTCCCTGCACAGTGGGCTCTCCTTCCATGAGTTCACGAATTCCAACTCGTTGGATGCCACGTACTTGCTGCGTGTCTCAAAGTCATCCTTCATGTTCCCATTGCAGTTGCCACACAAGCCACAGAGGACGTCCTGCGGGACTCTGTGTCAGGCAGGGAATGTGCGGCCTTCCTGATCCACCCCATCCTGAGACCACAGGGCTCTGGCTGGACCAGGGTTGTGTCTGGCCAGCGTGGCAGGTACCTGGGAGGCACGATGGACCCTGATGGAGACGCTCATGTGCTTGTTCCAGACCAGCGTCATGTTGAGCCGGTTGGGGATATCTATGTCCAGAACCAGGTTCAAGGAGCTGGGCTTCACCAGCACGTGCACCTGGGAGTTCTCCCCGCTGATGGAGTAGTTTCTGTCTGCCATCGTGATAGTCAGGCCCTGTGGAGACAGGGCTGTCACTGGCTGCCTGCTGGTCGGCCTCTGTGGTCCCTGGGGCTGCCCCAGGACTGAGTGTATAAGGCAAGGCTGACCAAGTCCATCAAGGACTCGGGCAGGGGCACCTGCTGGGAGTCAGCCCCAGGCAGAAGGTTCCAGTGAGTATGGGAACAGGCTCGGCCCCCTGGAGGACACCCTTCCGTCTGCCCAGGTGATGCCCTGGAAGGAGGTGGTGGTCATCAGCCACTAGTGCAGAACATCAAGATGCCCACTTGGTGAATGGTTTCTGGGGGCAATGGGCACGCCCTCCTCCCTCCCTGTCGTGCAGGTGAGGAGGGGGTGGGAAGGGGGGGGCTGCACAGCAAAGATGGGACCTGAGGGTCCTGGACAGTGAGGGCCTAGCTGTGTGATGGGCCCAGCCCTCTCCTGCCCTGTGGGGGGTCCCGCTGCTCACGCCCAGGAGGATCTGGATGGCTCGGGAGCAGGTTGCCTCTGACTTCCCACAGACGACGTTCTCCACCAGGATCTTGAAACTGGGCTGGGAGTTGGCACCACAGTCATCCTGCAGGGATGAGGGTGCTGAGGAGGAGCCCTGGGTGCCCAGCCCAGCCCAGTCCCTGTCGCCTGGCTCCTGGGGTCCTGGCAGTTACCGTGGCCAGAGTGTACTTGCAGTTGCCATTAAAGACGAAGCGCTGCCCATCGAAAGTGATTATGTGGCCCTCCCCATAGAGAATGCAGGTAGATGGGCAATGGGCACTCTGCTGGCAGGTCCACCTCCCCTGTGAGCAGGTGCTGTGGAGAGGGCAGGGTGGGGTGCTGAGGCAGCTCTCTTCCCACATGTGGTGAGGTCCCTGGGGTTCTTGGAGGCCTTGGGCACCCTGCCTCTGGGGACCTCAGCTCTGGGCATCCCATTCCTGGACACTCCACCCCTGGGTCCCCCACCCTGGGTGCCCCTTGTCTGTCCAGATAGTCCCAGGGACCTGGGCTCCAAGGGTGAGGTGTGGCTTACCAGTTCTTGCAGTCGGTGCGGAGCACAGCACCCCCGGGGTAGGAGACCCCCGCAAAGTCACAGGGGCACTGCCCGGGGAGCACACACTGCCCACTGGTATTCTCGTAGAACCCCTCAGGACAGACGCAGCCAGGCTCACACTTAGTGGGCACCTGGAGGGGGCTGGGTCAGCATCGCCTCGCCTGGAAGGCAGCCCCAGCCTGCCGCCCCAGCCCTGGCCTTCTTCCCAGGCACTTCCGTGAATCCTGCAGGGGTCTTTCTTGGTAGAGCCACCTCTCTAAGGGAAGGTTCCATGCTGCCTGCCTGAGGCTGCCCTGGCCCGGGGCCTGAGCGCCCGGTGCCCCAGGCTGGCCCTGCCCCCACAGAGCCCTGCAGGTGAGCATGCTCATCCAGCTGCTTGGCCACAGAGTTACTCTTGACCCCTGACCCACAGCCCACACTGGCAGCTGGGACAGACAGAGATGGAGACAGAGGGGTGAGGGCAGAGCAGCCTCCTGGGCCTGTGACAACCCTTTCTAGGCCCCTGAGCTGCTTCTCACTGCCACTTACACAGGTGATGCCGGTGGCCAGCATCTGGCACGTGGGGGCACATGCGGCCCCAAACTTGTCCTCTGAGGACTGGCTGCAGGACTGGAATGTCTTGGGGGCTGGGCAGGAAGCTGCAGGAGTGGAGAGTGGGGTTAGGGTCTCAGAGGAGGGAGGCCAGGGGTGCCTCTGGGTCCCCCGTTGGGTGGCTTCTGCAGCTGTACGTACCCAAGAACACCTGCGATTGCCCTGGGCAGCTCAGCCGTCCATTGGTGCAGTGGCTATAAGAAAGAGGCTGCATGAGGCTACGTGAGCCTGCACCCAATGCCCCCAAGAGGCTGCATGAGCCTGCGCCCCGATGCCCCACACCCCCAGGCCCAACCCGCACCAGATGATGCCGTTGACCATGGTGGACTGGCCGGCCAGGATGAACTTGTGACTCTCCAACAGGCAGGGGCACTGGGCCTTGTGCACACACTCATTCCTGTGGTCCAGGTAGGTGCCATCAGGGCAGTTACAGCCATCCACGGGCACTGCGCTGGGGTGGCACTCCACCTCGCGGTTGGACAGGGATAGGCAGGTGTGGTCACAGGCCTGGCTCTGCTGGCTGAAGGTGTGGTTGCCGGTGCAAGGGATGGCTGCAGGGAGCTGGGGTCAGGCCCTCCGCATGGCAGCTGGGGCCTGTGGTCTGGGCCGTGCTGCCCACTGGCCAGTGGGGCGGCCAGGCAGAAGCGGCCTGGGACTCCATGTCCTAGCCACCCCCGACTCCACCCCCTGGCCTGCTGCACTCACTGCAGTTGTACACGCTGTCCCTCCAGTCCCCGAGCAGCACGGCCTGGGAGGAGCAGGCGTGCACGTAGGCGCCCAGGGCTGCGCAGATGTGCGGGAAGGTCTCCTCATAGTTGCAGGCCTGGTACACGCACCTCTGCGGGAAGAGCCAGCCGTGGCGGGACATGGCACCTCCTCTCCCTGGCCATAGCCCCAGGTGCCCAGGACTGTGTTGCCTCCCCAGGTGCCTGTAGGCCCACCTTGTAGAAAGGCTTGGGGTCCAGCACGGCATGGCACTTCTCGAACACACCATCCTTCTTTAGCAGCACCGAGCAGTGGGTCTCTGCGTACATCTCTAGGGCGACAAACTGGCTGTGGGTCCTGTGTCCCCTCCCCAGCCCCAGGCCTGGGAGGCAGGGCAGGTGGACTCACTGTTGAGCTGGCTCATGGAGCAGGGGTCGATCTCCCGTTCCAGGGCAGCCGGGCAGTTCCCCGCCCGCCAGGAGTCCACGAAGAGTGCAGCTGTGCCCTCGTCGATGCCTGCGCTGCTTGTGAACTCATCGGTCGTGTTCCCGTTGAAGTTGCCACAGAGCCCTGCGCAGCAGACCGTGAGGGCCAAGCCCCACCTGCCCTTCCTGTGCCCCCTTGCACCCCAGCAGTGTCCTGCTGTGTCCCCATGACAGGCTACTGGCCTCAGGTGGCCACGCTCCTGTGGGCTCCCTGCATGTGCAGGGCCAGTGCCAGCCTCTCGTGTGTCCTTCCCCACCTGGCCAAGGCAGGGGTGGGGGCTCACCTCTGGTCTGGCCTCTGAATTGCGGCCCGAGGGTGATGTACACCTGGAAGACGGGCTGACGCTGGACCACGATCTCTAGCCCGAAGGTGGTGGCCATCTGGAGGTGGGTAGACGTCTGTCTGAAGATGGTGATGTTGCCTGCAAGGGCAGGTGCTCAGCAGGCTGTCAGGCCTGCCCCCGGAGGCGTGGCCCAGGAGGCCCCGGAGCTGGGCAGGGACATACGGGTCTGGTAGGGGAGCCACTTGGTGTCTCCATTGTTGGTCACCTCATCCTCGGAGATTACAATCTTGTCCTAGAGGGAGGGCAGCCTGCATCAGGGAGGGCTGAGAGCAGGCAAGAGCTGGGCCCACCTCTGTTTGTGGGGGCAGCCATACCTGCCCGGACAGGTAGATGATGGCAACCAGGGACGTCTCTGAGTGTGAGTAGCCCGACTTGTCATACACGGCCATGAGCGTGCCCTCGTTGGGAAGCTGGGGGCTCTGTGGGGGGCCAGGTTGCTCAGGGATGGAGGGACCACACCCTCCCCACCAGCCCCGAAGCCCGTCCTACCTGGAGGAGGATGTAGGTGCAGGTGCCGTGGAAGCGGTAGGGCCTGGCATCGAATGTGGTGACAAAGGAGCCGCCTTCCAGAGAGCAGTGGCCCGGGCACGGCTGCCCTGTGCACGTCCAGTGGCCCATGGTGCACTGGCTGCGGGGCCACAGGGGGTGACCCTGTAAGTGGCCTTCCTCCCCTGTGTTCCAGGCCAGCAGGCGCCCTCCCCAGTACTCACCAGCTTTGGCAGGCAGCCCTCACGACCTCCCCAGGGCTGTAGGCGACTCCATTGAGCATGCAGGGGCACTGGCTGACCGGCACGCAGGTGTGGTTGTTGGAGAGGTCATTGAGTACCATTCCTGCCAGAAAGTGGCTTCTTGGGCTTGGGTGGGACTGACCTCCTCCCACCCTCCCGCTGGATGCTCCCTCCCTGGCCGTCCTGCGCAGGCCTTGCTGGTCCTTACCGAGGTGCAGGCCCAGGTGAGGGGCAGGCCTGGCGAGTCTCGGACGCATAACTGCCTCAGGCCCACCTGAAAGCCCACCTATCCGCAGCAGTTCTTGGTCCCCCTGACCCCCACCCCTTGGCCCCACTCACGCCTGTGGGTTTGCAAGTGTGGCTGTGGGTTCCTAGGTCCGTAGGAGCTGTGAGGTTTGGGGGTGGGCAGAGGGGCCCTGGGATTGGGGCTCCAACTGCAGAAAGTCTGTGCTCAAGTCAGGCAGGGTGTGTTGTCCCTTCTCAGGGCTCATCTCCAGGTGTTGGGGACAGTGGGAGCCAGCACCTGCCTCACCTTTGGGGCAGAAGCAGCCAAAGGTGCAGGGGCTGGAGCAGCTGTGCTGTGGGTTGGAGCAGGTCCTGATGCAGGCCGTGCCACACTCCTGATACACCTGGTTGGCTGGGCACTGGCCCACGGCTAGGAGGCACAGGGTCTGTGAGAGGCCTCACCCCAGCCAGCAGCCCAGACCCCACCCAGGAGGGGCCTTCCTGCGGCTACCCCAGCCCCGCCCCATCCCACCGGGACTCACAGCAGAGGCCGGGGCCCCGCCAGTTGCTGACAGGCCTGTGTGCCATGCTGCACCGGCGGGAGTACTCAGACAGAGTGGCACAGCTGCAGTTCTGCTGGCCAGGCTGGGCACATGTAGCCATGTCCACCTGGCAGCTCAGCACCAGTGGCTTCTTGGGCACATCACACTCAGGGGACACCAAGGTCAGCAGCTGGGTGCAGATCCCAACCTGGGCAGCAGACCACTCAGGGTCACACAGGCCAGGGCACCTCCCACACCATGCCTGGGGCTTGGAAGGTGGGGTTGTTGGCTCCAAGACGCCCATCAGACCCCTTGAGGGCTGGCCACCTCACGTACATGTGTGGCCTGCAGGACGGGGGGCCTGGGGATGGCCTCAAAGGTGCAGATCTCGTTGGGGTCGTCCAGCTTCTGGAGTGCAGCATACTTGTAGGGCTCCAGGAGTTTGCCTAGGGCATGGGGTGGGGGTCAACACCTTGGGGTCTAGCCAAGTGGGCTTGGGTCCCCACAGCCCTGCCTGCCCCTCCCCACCTACCATCCTCGCTCAGAAACTCATTGGCCGTCGTCCCGTCGAAGTTCCCACACAGCCCACACATCTGGCCCATGTACTTCCTCTCCACCAGAACCTGCAGGGTGGGTGCTGCTGGGCCCCATGGGGTGCAGGAGGGGCTCCTGCCCAGCTGGCTGGGCCACTCACTCCTGCTCCCCGGGCCCCCACCATCCCCACACCTTGTTCCTCCTGGGGGGTTCCACCTCTTGCTGGATCCTCCTTATTTTTAAGTGGGGGAACAGCTACCAAGAAAACCTAGATCCAGTCCAGGTTACTGGCCAGGGGTCAGTGCTGCCTGGCAGAAAGGGCCTGGCTGTACTGCCAATTGGGGTCAGAGCAGGTTGAGACCCCTGCCCAAGGAGGGCAGCTCCTCCTGAGCCCTGTACCTTGGGCCCGTATGCCCCTGCCCAGGCCCCCGGTCCTCACCATGAGGTGGGCGTCTGGGCCCCACATGACCACCAGCTCTAGCTCCACCTGCTTGGCCACCAGCTGCACACTCTGGCCGTAGGGTGTGATTTGGAGCCCATGGCTGGTGTAGGGCAGGCTGACCACCCTGTGGATGAGAGCAGTCAGTGTCTGCCCCCAACTGCCCAGGTGGCCCCACGGCTCACCTGACATCCTCGGGGTCAGGATCCCCAGCCCCTGACTACCTGGCCTAGCCCCTTGGCTCACCCGATGTCCTTGATGGAGATCGTCGTCTCATTCACGGTGACAACGGAGGACCCTAGCTCCACAATGATCCGAGAGATGTTCCCGTCCGCCCCTCGCCGCAGCTGGATGCTGAAGGTAGGTGAGGCACCCTTGCAGCTGGCCGCAAAGATGTAGTTGCAGGTCCCCAGGAAGTCGTAGGCATGGTGGTCAAAGGTGGAGAAGTGGCCAGCCCCCCATGAGGAACACCAGCCCTTTTTCAGGGCTGCGGAGAGAAGGGCAATTTGCAGCTCATGGCCCCACTGAGGACCCTGGGAGCCCACACGGGGAGGGGTGTAGCTTTCTGGGTGTGTTGGAAGCCTCCCCCCACACCGTGGACACTGTCTCCCAGGCTGCTGGCCTTGGGCTGGCCTCCACCCCCTGTCCCGGGCCTTACTGGACTGTAGGCTGCCCTCAGCATTGGGGTCAGTGGTATTTCCAGTCGTGGGGTCTGTAAGACAGGAGGCCGCTGCTCAGCTCCCCTGCAGTGGGCTCACCCAGGGGGTCTTGGCAGGGAGAGACTGCAGGGGGTGGTGCAGCTGCCCAGGGCATCAGCCCTTAGCTCCAGACTGAGCAGTGGCTCTTCTGAGGCTTGATGCTTTTCTGGGAGCCCCAGGCCTGGGTGTGCAGTGGCCTGGGCCCTGTCACAGAGGCTATGCTCTGGTGAGCCTGCCTGTGTGGTACATGAGTGAAGCCTGCACTCTGGGCAGAGGCCTGGTAGCAAAGGAAGCAGCATCCAGACCTGTGCCCTGTGGTCAGTGGCAGCCCCCACGCCGTCCCTGTTGGCTTTGCCCAGCACTGCCCTCCCAGGACCCAGGGAACACTCGGCTCGTGGGCAGCACAGCAGCCCTGAGGAGCCCCTGTCCTGGGCCCATGACCCAGCCAGGGGCACAGGGCAGGAGGTGCTTCCACGGACCTGTCCTGGGCAGGAGATTGCTGCAGAAGCTGCCGGCCACCATGAGCAAATGGAAGGGTGGCCAGCCTGTGCTGGGTGGGGAGAGGCCACCACCACTGGGGAAGGGTGACCTTCTGAGGAGGTGACCTCTGACCAGAGCTGGGTGCTCTAGTGCCCAGTGACTCCTGGGGCACTCTCTGTCTTGTGGGAGGCAGAAGTGGAGCAGCCAGCGGGGCAGCCCTGGGCAACCAGTTCTGAGCCTCAGGGCAGAGCAGCCCCAAGGCATGGCTCTCTGGCATCCTCTGGTCAGGACACTTGCTGGCCTGTCTGCCAGGCTTCCCTCACCACTTGCTGCCCAGACAAGTTGGGCCCCTCCTGTGTGTCTGCAGACAGAGAGAACAGGACACAGAGATTCCTGGGCAGCTGGGGTGGGGTGGCCGCTGGAGCTGGTGGGCGAGGCCAGGAGGGTGGGCATGGGGCGTTCTGGGAAGCAGGTGACGAGGGTGGAGATAGAGCGGGTTGTCCCCTGAACCCTCTGCCTGGCTACATCCTGCTGTTCCTAGCATGACTCCTGGTGTCCCTGTGGGGAGCCACATCCAGCTCTGTGAACCGCCCAGGGGCTGAGCGAGGGCCAAGTCTGCCCTCCTGGGGCTCTGAGCTCATCCGTCTTCCTGCCTCTTTCCTGCCTGGCAGCCTCCAAGACAGCCCCCCGGGGTTGGTCCTGGACTGGCAGCTGTGACCAGGGAGATGCCCAAATAGCATGGGTCATGGTGACCATGGAGTAGGGAAGCTGGGAAGATGGCCAGCCTATCTCCTGCAGGCGTGAGGGTGCCCTCCCTGTGGGTTTGCCTCCTGCTCCCAACCCCTTTCCTCCCTCATCAAGGGGCAGGTTGGCGCACATTCTTCCCTCCTCCCCCACCCCGCACCTTGGGGACCTGGCCCTCCTGTGGCTCCCTTGGGCCATGGCAGTATCTGAATGCTGGCCGGGCTGTCCAGGTGCTCCTGGGCCTGACCCTGCCTTGGCTCCCCGCTGCTGAGCAGCTGGGTGCACACAGTGCATCCCTTGAGACAGCTCAGGGGGGTTCCCTTCTTCCCACTCCCCACCTGGATCCCTAACACAGGTTCTGCCAAGCTCTGGGAGGTGACGCTGCCCCTTCCATTGCTGCTAGTCACCTCCAGAGTGTGTGCCTCTCTGGCACCCCAGGAGCTGAGCTGGGTGGCTGAGGGTGGTGTGGCTGAGGCTTGAGCAGAGGCACCTAGCCACGGAGGCTGTCTGGCCCTGGGGACTGAGCCTCAGCCTGGGGGAGAGTCCTCTGGCTGGCAGGAGCGCCAGGTTTGAGTGCCTGGAGAGTGGACAGGCTGGGCGTGTGTGGGCCCACTCACGCTGGCCCCGGCCCTAAAGGTGGTTTTCGGCTGCAGTGGCATGTGCCTGCCTTCCCCTGTGGGTGTGAGGCTCATGCTGGGCGCAGGCTGGTGCCCACTCCTCACCCATCCCTGCCCTGGGTCCTGGCCTTCCCTTCCAGGGTGCCCCAGGGACAGCACCTCTTGAAGGTATGGGACCTTGGTCAGTCTTCACTGGGCAAAACCCTCTGTGACTCAGTCCTCTACCTTTCAGATGGACGGTGACGTCTGGGTCCACCCTGACCTTGTATGGTGCCAATGGCAAAGGCTCAGTTCTCACCCCCTCTTTGCCTTAGACCTGTGTCTGGCTCTATGGCCCCCAGTCCCCTCATTGTTATGTCTGCCAGGCCCCGGGGTCCCTGTCCCTATCTGTGGGTGACTCCACTCCCCTGCCAGGCCCCTCCTTTCACCAGGTGCCAGCCTCACTGAGCCTCTGTCTCTGACTACCTGGCGCTGACCCCAGAGGTCCCTTTGAAGAGACTCAGGAGGCCGTCAGTGCTGTGGACTCTCCTTCTAGGGACTTTCTGTGCTTCCTGCTGACCGACCCGACGCCAGGCCCCAAGGCATCTGGGGTGGCTGGTCTGCCCCCCCCCCCCCAGGCTTTCTCAGCCCCGGGCAGGTCATAGGGCGGCAGGGGCACTCGCTGTTCCTGTGCACGCCTGGTGGCCCTGCCCGCCACCCCTGCATGGCCTGGCTAACTGGCTGACCCACAGGCCTCCCTCAGCCCCAGGTCCCATGACCTGCTGTCTGACCTCATGCTCTGCTGGCCGCCGCCCTCTCCCAGTCCGTGCAGAATCAGTGCGCAAACAATGCCCACTGGGGGGGCTCCCAAGCCCAACCCTCCCCTCCGAGACCCCATCTGGGCTCTTCCACCCCACACCTTCTCCTGCCAGGTGTGCTGGGTTAGGGGGCAGGGGTCCCAGACGACCTGACTGGAGCCCTGGCCCCTCACTGTGGGGCTCAGCACTGCCCCTGGCATGGCAGATGAGGCCTGGCCAGTGGGGATGGGGCTCCTGGGAGAAGGGAGTCACACTGCTTGAGTCCAAGCACTGACCAGTGCTTTGGCCCCAGGCTGGGCACAGCCCCAAGGGTGCCCTCTGTCTAGCTGTTGTCCACCCCCAGCAGGCTCCCAGCTGCTGCTGAAGGGCAGTGGTCTGGGTCAGGCAGTGGACAGGACAGCTCCACACATTTACAGAAGGGGAGACTGAGGCAGGGGCCCATTCTGCGGTCCATCCTGTTCTCCTGGCCATGAGCCTCCCTGATGGAGGGACTTGTGTCCCTGCCCCTCCACACCTGCTGGCTACCCTCAGGCCCCAGAGACCAGGGCTGAGTTGAGAGAGGGAGGGTGACAGACTGACCCGTCTGGAGCTGCTGTGTTTCAGGCCCCACATTCCTGGAGGGGCTGTGCCCAAGGGACCCCTGTCCTATTCCTGCACCCTCCCTGGCCATTGTGCCCAGCTCCCCAGGAGGTGGACAGAACCCAGTGGCATGTGGGCCCGTGGGGAGGCAGCACCTGCAGACCTGGCTCCTCCTGCTCCCATTTATCAGCACCTACAGGTCAGTCCACCTCGGCAGAGTCAGCCAGGCAAGAGGACCTGGGAACTCGCCCACGTGTAGGGCCCGTGGGGCGCCGGCCCTCTGGCGGGTCTGCTTGCCCCCACTCACCTGTGCTGAGCAGGGCTCCCCCGTGGGGCAGCAGCAGCAGCAGCCAGAGCCCCACCATGGTGTCGCCGCTGGAGAGGAACTGCTGGCCGGGCACCTCTGCTGGGCTCCCAGCCGTCCTGCCACTGCCAGCGCTGCGCCTGAGTGCTAATCCCACAGGCTTTATGTAGGGGTGGTGGCCCTGCCCCTGTTGCGCCACCCGTGCCCCACACTCTGCCGTAATTGCCACTGCTGATCGGGCACACAGTGGCCAAACAGGATCTCAGCCTCCACTTTATCAGCACCTGACCTTTCTTGGAAAATTCTGCAGCGGCTGCAGCCCGTTATCGCCCACTCCCCGGGGGAGGGGACACACCCTCCAGGGTCCTGCAGACACCTCCTGTGTGTGGGCCATCCTGTCCCAGGGGCCTCCCCACTGGGTCCCTGGGGGCGGCATCAGCACACAACTGGGAGGCCGGGATGGGGATTGTCCAGGGGGCTACTGGGGAGGCTTGTGCACCCTGTCTGCCCTGTCAGGGAGCACAGGGTGCTGGGTAGCTCTGGGTGAGCCCTAACCTCCACTGGGTCCCAATACCCAGAGAGTTGCCCATGTGCTGGGCCCTCACCCCTGAGTTTCCCTCCTGTGGGGCCAGGCCTGAGGGACTGCCCAGGGGAGTCTCCGTGTTGCTGCGCACCTGGATACCTCTCCTCACGTGGCCTCCTCTGAGGGTGGGGATGGGGGAACCACAGGACAGGTCACCTCCTGCGAGGTGATCCCCCAGATCTGAGCAGCTCGGCTGGCAGGGGCCACCCAACTCAGGAGCAGGACTAGGGGCCCTGGAGTCTCTTCATCCCAGAGCCACCTCCATGGGGATGAACGGTGGGCATTGATGGACCCCCTCAGAGAGCTGCCCAACCCACTGGAAGAAGGGTGGGCTTCTGGGACAACATCTAGAGGCGGGGCAGATAGCGGCATGTGCCAGTGCCACAGAAGGTCAGGGCAATGGTGAGGTTGAAGGCCAGGATGAGGGCAGGGCTGGGGTCCTCCCTGGGGCCCTCTTGCAGCTTAGGAGGGGATTCGGGATCTGACCAGTCACTCCCGGGGTTGTCCAGCTCTGTGCGGAGCCAGGGATCAGGTGCCTCCTCTCCTGGGGAAGGGCCTTGTGTCCTACCCTGTAGGACCCTCCAGCAGCTCCCACTGCAGGTTTGGTGTCCCTGCCCAGCACTGCCTCAGCCTGACCTCCCCAGATGGTGTCCCTGCCCAGCACTGCCTCAGCCTGACCTCCCTGGCCTGGACCCGGGGCCTCCCCCCAACCCCCAAGGGGCAAGCCCTGGAGTGCAGCCCCCGCGCCCACCCCCCGCCCTGGAGGGGACATGCAGCACTGAGACAGAAGCAGTGGGTGTCATGTGCTCACCTTAAGCAAACTGCAGCTTGGAAAGGACTCTGTGCGACTGCAGTGTAGCTCAGTGGTAGGTGTGTGCTTGGCATGTCCAAGGCTGTGGATTTGATTCCCAGCACACACACAAAACCAAAAAGCAAAAAAAGGAAAAAAAAGAGCATTGCTTTCATGTGAAACCACAGTTACGTGTTCAGGCTGCTGCTGCTGGAAGTTCACTCTGGACTCTGCTTCTCAGTTTCCTGTTCTGGGTTATTTCTTCATTTCTTCCTTTTTCCTTTTTCTTTCCTTTTGCTATTAGGAGTTGAACCCAGGAGTGCTCAACCACTGAGCTGCATCCCCAGTCCTTTTGATATTTTCTTTTGAGATGGTGAGGGTCTTGCTAAGTTGCCCAGGCTGGCTTTGAACTTGGAATTCTCCTGCCTCAGCCTCCCAAGGCACTGAGATGACAGGCTGTACCACTCTGCCTGGCTCAGGGGTTCTTCCATGCTCAGCCAACCTGTTCAGGTGGGAAACTGAGAGCAAGGAGTGAAACTTTTGCCCAGTTGTGCTGAGCAGCTGCACAGCGTGGGGGACCTGCCCTTGCCTGAGCTGTGGGTGGGCTGGGGTCTTGGGCTGGTCACTGCATCAGGGCAGCCAGCATGGAAAGGGCATTTGACTGGAGGGCATGTCTGCGGGGGCTGGACTGGTGTCACTGTGTGCCTGTGTCTGTGCATCTGGAAGGACACGTGTCATGTGAGGCTGTGTGTGTGCATGCACTGGGCTTGCGTCTGCTGCTGGCAGCTGTCTGGGGTTTGTCCTGTCTTCTCTGCCATTCAGGGCATGTGCTGAGGTGGGTGGACAGCTCTGCCCAACAGTGCTATCGTGGCCCTGGCTGAGGGCCCCTCCTGGTGCGGGCCAGGGCTTCAGGCCCCCTCCTTCCCAGCACACTTGTTTGGCAGGAAATTGCTGCTGAAAGGCGTTTTTGTCTCTTGACTTGGGAGCGCTCGAGTGCACCAAGCCCACAGCTCCGAGGCTGGACGATAAGGGTGTATGTGGCCATTGTTCCTGAGGCAATCTCAGCGATAAGACCCGGTTCCGCTGCCTGGAAAGCGGGGCATGCTGGCTATATAAGTGGGTGATTGTCCACGCTTACACCCAGCCCAGACCCCTGACTCTTATGGCCATCCATGAGCAGTGGTCACCCAGGGCCCAGGCAGGCTGTGGAGGAGGATCCGGATTGGGCCTAAGGTCCAGCGAGGTCTGCCCCAGAGTCCAGGGAGAGGTGCTTGGCTCCAGCCTCCTGGCTCCACTCTGAGGTACTGCCCATTAGGCTGTGGCTCCTGGATAGCCGTGGGAGGACCTCTGCTGGGCACTGGGGCTGGGGTAAGGACATGCACATCCTCCTGGGCAAGTCCTCCAGAAGGCTCCAGCACAGGCCTGGGCTACAGGGAGCTGCAAACCCAGGGCTTATTGCTTCTCATTCACAGAAATGCTGGTCAGCCTGCTCCTCCCATCCTGTACCTGCCCACTGGACCCCTCCTGGGCCATGTGTGACATTCCCTGGACGGAGGACAGGGAAGAGCAGCCCCTGCCCCGGCCCCGGGGCTTGGCAGCTGGTCAACATCAGATCAAAGAGCTGAGAACTGGCTTTGGGGCATGTTCGGGATAGATTTTGACAGCAGAGCAGGAATTCTCTTGTGGCTGACAAGGCCCAGGACTGGGCCCAGCTGTGACCAGGAGAGCCCGTCCTGACTCCCGACCAGAGAGTGTGGACCCTGGGTTGGTCCCGGGGTATTTCAGGACTTCCTGTGGATCAGGGTGTGAAGCTCAGGGCTGCCTGGTCCAGTCCTCAGACGGGGACAAGGGCCACCTGGGCTGAGCATTGTGGGGTCAGGGAGTGGTAGGACTGGCCCGTGGGCACCTGCTACTTGGGGAGACGGTGGGAACCCATTGACCCTGGCATGGAGTGGCGGAGGCGTGGGAGCTGTATCCCCAGGTCCTGCATGCAGCATGTGGTAGCCATCTGGGCCTGTTGCTCAGTGAGGTCTGGGCAGCAGTCACCGTCCCAGCAGGGACTCTCCCTCCTTCTCTGCCCCACCAAGTGTCACAGGTAACGCCCCCACTACAGGTGCAACCCGGCTGCCCAGTGTGCCACCCGAACACGGTGAGCCCTGCACCTCTGTCCACATTCGTCCTGCAGCTACCGTGGCTCCAGCTGCCGGATCCTGCTGGAGCCCCAGCACTTGTGCCTTCTCCCACCCTGGTATGCCCGAGGTCCTGTCCACTTCCTGACCTCTGGCTCCCACCCCTGGCAGCAACTGACCCTGCCTCTTCAGAGGCCCTTGCAGAGCCCCCCCTCTCCCGGCTATGATAATGGAACCAGCAGGCTCCGAGCTCAGCCCTGGGCTCTGGCCTGGAGAGGGGAGTGCGGCCCTGGGAAGGGTCTCCAGGCTCCCCAGAAGGCCCTCTGCAGCTGCCTGTCTGTGGTGCTCCTGGGGGGCCTTCCCTAGTCCACATGTTGGCCTTGGCCCCTGGGTACCTGGGCTGGGCTTGGGGGTGATCTGCCCTCCCCCTGGTCTTGGGTCCTGGCCCCAGCCCACCACCTACTGGGGGCTGCCGCCTGAGGTCAGTTCTGCCCCGGCTGGATGGAACATGCCCCCAAATCTACTGTGGGGCTTACTGTCCCTCCTGGCCAGGCCCTGTGGTCCTTTTTGTCCACTGGTAACTGTGCTGGGGCCTGAGAAACCACAGCCAATAGGGCTGGTGTCAAAAGTGGGTAGGTGGGCTGTGCCTCCCGCCAGGGTCAGGGCAGCCAGAGCCAAAGGTGGGCTTGAACTGGACACCACCTATTGTCCAGGCAGCCCCCACAGGATGGGGCTCTGGCCCAGTCATTCCTCCCCTCAGGCAAGGGCTTAGCTGGGGCGAGGGGACACATTGCAGCCAGCTCCCCCCTCCTGGGAGGGTTGTTACCCACCTGCAACCTCAGGTAAGCCCCCAGGGTGTCCTCTGTGACTTCAGAGCCCCGTGGCGATGGGTGCAGGCGGCACTGCCTGCCACTACCCGTACCTCCTCCCCCTTTCTGTCCCCACCCCATGGGAGGGTGAGGCGCCCAGTCCACTCTGGGAGGAGATGGCCTATCCATTGGATGCCCTTCGATGAACCCTGGTGTCCAGGTTCTGGACAAACCCCCGGGGTCACAGCCTTTATCCAGGCTGCTCCTGGAGGAGCTCAGGGGCTCAGGGCGAGGCTCTCCCTAACGGGCCCCCAGGGCGAGCCAGGCCCTGGGGCTGGGCTCCCATATCTGGGTAATATCAGCTCAGTTCCTGCTCCTAGGCCGAGTCCAAGGGCTCCCAAACCCGGGCTGCGCGACCACAGAGGGCTGCGCGACCACAGAGGGCTGCGTGACCACAGAGGGCGTCACCCTGCTGGCTCCTGTACTCACAAGCGGATGTTGAATAAAAAGCCAACAGATAAGGCAGGCTGGGGCCTGGGGCCTGGCCCCCTGCGCTGCCTGCGGCTCACAGTGGACTGCCCTGCATGGCTGGGCTGTCAGGCGCCTGGGGTCCTCCCCCCCAGTGCTGGCCCTCCCCTGGGCAATGGGGAGGGAGCTTTGGGAGGATGGGAGGACTGTGCCTTGTCTATGTGGCCCTGAAAGCTTGTGGTCAGGTGGTGGTGGCCACCTGAATTGGGCTCCCTTGGGAGT